GACCCCCGCGCTGAGCCCCCCCAACCCTGTGCCCCGCAGCAGTACAGCCGCCTCAACTCCTCCAGCCAGACCAACAGCCTCAAGGATCTGCTGCAGAGCAAGATCGACGACCTGGAGCGGCAGGTGCTGTCGCGGGTGAACACGCTGGAGGAGGGCAAGGGGGGCCCCAGGAACGACACGGAGGAGCGGGCCAAGATCGAGAGCGCCCTGACCTCCCTGCACCAGCGCATCAGCGAGCTGGAGAAGGGTAAGCGAGGCTGGGCGGCGCGGCGGGCGCCTCCCGCCCCCTCCGGGCCCCTCGGGGCCCCTCCGGCATCGCCACCGCCCGGCCTGCCCGCTCCCTGCAGGGCTGAGCCCCGCTCCCGCTTCGGGGTTCCCGAGGCTCTGGGCTTGCAGCCCGTATTCCTGGAGATCCCTCCGTGTGTGTGTGTGTGTGAAGCACGGCATGCTGCACCCACTCACGGAGACACACTCGCACTCACACACCTGGAATGTTCAAGTCTCATTTGTTTAATCTTCAGCAACTTTGTGCTTGCAGCGGCGGCAGGCTCCAGCTCTCCCTGGTGAAGGAAGGCTCCTCCGGCCTCTCCAGCCGGGAGCTGAGCCGGCTCTGCCTTGGGCTGCTGAGCCAGTTTCCTTCCCGTCCCCCCCCATTCCTGGGATCTTCACCCATTTATCGGTCCTGACCCCCCCTCCAACACTGCCTCCCCATCTTCTCTTCTGAGTGACCCATGTCCCCGCAGCCCGGGTGTCCCCGCAGCCCGGGTGTCCCCGCAGCCCTGTCAGCCACTGGCTGAGGCCGGCCCCACTCTCTGTACCCACGGGCCAGTTCTGTCTTGAAGTGGCAGAAATCAAACAAGGTTGTAAAGCGGGGGGGGGGGCAGCCGTGCTCAGAGCAGGGACACGTGACCCCGCTCAGACCGCAAAATGTGCCGGCTGGATTTAAACAGTGCCATCTTAAGGCCCGTTATGTAACTGAAAAACAGATCTGGGGAGAGAGGGACCTCCGGAGGGAGGGGGGAGGGAAGACAGGGATTGGAAAACACTCCTGAGAGGCCCCACAGACCCTCTCCCTTCTCTGTGGGGCTCAGATGGGGTGGGGGGTGCTTCATTGAGAGAGCCAGCCATGCCCTGTCTAAAACACCTGCCTCGCTTACAAGAGGAGGAGGAGGAGGCCACTGCTGGCCTGCCAGGACGCCTTCTAGAAATCCCTCCTGGCCTGCAGGACTCCCTTCCCTGTGGGCTCTGGGCGCAGCAGGAGCTGGCTGGGTGCTTGCGTCCCTGCGCTCTTTGTGGGCGTCGATGCTGGATGGGAGCATTTTCCACCAGGCAGTCACCGGGGTCAGGACATAGCCAGCGAGGGCGGGTTTAGGGTCAGAGGGTCCCTGGATGGTGACTGGAAGCTGGGGGCTGGGGGCCGTGTGAAAGGGGGAAGCCCCTAGCCCTGGAGCCCGAGTTTCCGGGAAGCTTATCCGACACACAGTGGCATCCTCAGAGCAGACACTTTGGGGAAGGGCGGGCTGTGGCAGCAGCAGGCTCAGGCCTGCACAGGGTCCTGTCTCCAGGGCCGCAGGGGGGCTGGGGAGGCACCGGCAGCCTCTGGTTGTCTTGGGCCCGGTCCAGCACGGGAGTGCTGAAGGAGAGGTGAGGTGTGGCGAGGGGTTCGGAGCACTGTCACCATCTGGAATCAGGTCAGTCCCCACAGGGGCTGCTCCGAGGGGAGCTGGCCCACTTCCCTCCTCCCCCGTGGCTGCACCTTCTCCATTTGTTCACGGGGGTGCGCCGGGGCCAGCCTCATTCACTCCCCCGCCCACCGGGGAGGGTGCCCAGGCTGCTGTGTGTGCTGTACCCCCACCTCACCGCCCCAGGGGTGGCCCCAGGGTGCAGAGACCTGGGGTCAGCTTCTTCAGCTGCCTTTGTGCCCTGCTGGCGGCTCGGAGCTGGGTGGGGACCAGACACCACTCTGCCCACAAGCCCTGGGGTCAGCGAGGAGCAGGTATCGGGACCGGTCTGTCCTCCCCAGGTCAGAAGGACAACCGTCCTGGTGACAAGTTCCAGCTCACCTTCCCGCTGCGCACCAACTACATGTACGCCAAGGTGCGGAAGAGCCTGCCCGAGATGTATGCCTTCACCGTGTGCATGTGGCTCAAGTCCAGCGCGGCGCCCGGCGTGGGTACCCCCTTCTCCTACGCCGTGCCCGGCCAGGCCAACGAGCTGGTCCTCATCGAGTGGGGCAACAACCCCATGGAGATCCTCATCAATGACAAGGTAGGGTCCTGGCTGGGAGGACTGGGGAGGGAGGACCGGGGAGGGAGGACCGGGGAGGAGGGCTGAGGTGGCCTCATGCTGCAGAGCCATCCCCCCCCCTTACAGGACTTGAAGGAGGTGGGAGTGGAGCCCAGAGCGGGAGGGGCACCCTCACTGTCTGTCAATAATAGGGAGAGCTGGAAACTTCCAGAAGCCTTTGGAGGTGGGGGTGGAATGTCTGAGGACGGTCATCCTGCGGATAGGATTCTGGCTGCTGCTCTGAATGGCTCTGATTGGCTCCCCCTCCCCCCACCTGGGGACCGTAGATGCTCTGGTTGCCTCTCTTTTAGATGTTAGATGCTTCTCACTCAGCCCCTACCTGCGGGGGGCCCATGTATCCGACCCCTTAGGAGAGAGCAGCCGTCACCTCCAGAGAGCTCTTCTCCTTCCTGCCCCCGCCCCACTGCTTCAAGCCCCCCTCCCCCACCGCAGGCCACCCCTCCCTCCATACCTCTGGTCATCAATGGCCAAATCCCAACTGGGAACTGGATTCCCAGCCCTCACTTGTGACATTGTGTCCTGGGAAGGGTTAGGCTTTTCTGGGCCCTGTTTCCCCAAGTGGAAAATGCCTGAGGCCCATCCACTGCCCCTGTGTGGGGGCGAGGGCAAGAGCACCAGAGTCCGGGGCTGGCCCGGGCTTCCCAAGGCCCACCCCCCTTCCCCTCTCCCCCCTCCCCAGCCTCTCAGATTCTCTGCAGAGCTGGCCGGCATTATAACCAGAGCACCTGGTGGCTGAGGATGGCCGGTTGGAGGGGAGGAGAGGCCCAGCGGGGCGCCTGGGAGGGAGGCCGCGGGAGGCAGGAAGGCCAGGTGACTCTCAGGGTCCGTGGGGAACGCGCCAGGCTTCCCGCGTGACCTGTGGCCCTCCCGGGCCCTCCCCGGGTGTTCAAGACTCGGAGAGAGTGCTGTGGGCTCTCTGCCGCGGGCTGTGGGTCCAGGAGGAACCCACGGAACGTGTTGGTGGTGCCAGGCTCTGGTGCCACATCACGGTGGCCGCCCCCCTCCTCCCCAGGTGGCCAAGCTGCCCTTTGTCATCAACGACGGGAAGTGGCACCACATCTGCATCACCTGGACCACCCGGGACGGGGTGTGGGAGGCCTACCAGGACGGCACCCAGGGCGGCAGCGGCGAGAACCTGGCCCCCTACCACCCCATCAAGCCGCAGGGCGTGCTGGTGCTGGGCCAGGAGCAGGTACTGTTGGCTTGGGGGAGGGCATGGCGGCTGGGAATGGGGGCGGGGAGCCACACGGGGTGGGTGGGCTCAGGAACCCCCGCGGGGCAGCGAGCTGGGGTGTGTGCTCTTGGGAACGGCAGGAGCGCCGTGCTCTGTCGGCTTTTAGCAATGAATAATTTAGTTCCAGCGAAGTGCTTCCGCTTCCTCTGAGCCTGTGGGAGGTGCGCCCAGGGTGGGAGAACCAGGCTCCATTGCTCCTGGGACAGTGGGCCGCAGCTGGCAGAGGGGTGTGTGAGGAAGGCACCCCCAGACCCTGCGGCCGCCGGTGTCCAGGCCCCTGCTGAGCCCTGGCCCGGGCTGGGGCCGGGTGGCTGCGGGGAGGCAGAGCCCAGGCCCCCGCACATCATCTGCTTCTGGAGAGGAGGGGGCAGTGCCCCTTGTGTGGCTGGGCTCATGCAGGGACAGACACATGGCCCAAGACCAGGGATGGGAGCGAGAACGGCGCGCTCAGGAGGCACAGACACATCCACAGCCTCTGGGGAGAGGCCCTCAGCTCACCCAGACAGTCCCCCAATGCCCATCCCTACTTTTCTCCCAAGGATGCTCTGGGAGGAGGGTTCGATGCCACCCAAGCATTTGTGGGCGAGCTGGCCCACTTCAACATCTGGGACCGCAAGCTGACCCCCGGTGAGGTGTACAACCTGGCCACCTGCAGCACCAAGGCGCTCTCCGGCAACGTCATCGCCTGGGCCGAGTCCCAGATCGACATCTACGGTGGAGCCACCAAGTGGACATTCGAGGCCTGTCGCCAGATCAACTGAGGGCCCAGGGCCAGGGCCCGGCCCCACGCCCACCCCCCCCTGAGCAGCACCACCCGCCGCGTCTCTTCTCTCCCTTTCCCCCAGGAATGAAGCAAGGCCACGGCCCCTGCACCTGCACACAGCCTGGTTTTGTCCTCCTGCCCATGAAGCAGTCCCGGCTCTGCACCATCCCTGAGGGCACCCTGCTTCTCCCTGGGAGCCCTGACTGTTTCCCAGGCATGCTCTAGTCACCGCGAAAGCAGGTGCATGGACTCTGGACTAGACAGAGTAGGTGAGAGGGCGTGTGTGTGTGTGTGTGTGTGTGTGTGCGCGCGCGCGCGCGTGCCTGCCTGCCTGCGAGCCTGTGACTGGAGGATCAGCTTTTTCTTTAGAGTGAGCTGTGTGTCTCCTCCTTCCTTTGTGGGCTTGGGAAACCCCACCATGGGTCGGAAGTCTCTGTCTGCCAGCTTTGCTGGCTGCCCGGGGCTGTGCCGCGTCTCCCACGCACCTGTTCGTCTTGCCAGCCTCTTGGAGCACCATGGTTCTCTTTGACATAATAAATGTCTCTTGGTGGTTTAAGGCTGGGGAGGGGGAGGGGGTGTCCATGGGAAGTTTGTATCTGATGAAGGGCAGTACGGACTGGGGAGCAACCCCCCCCTCCGCATGCCTCCCCATTTGCTCCATCCCAGAGCCTCGCCCCTGGCCTTCCTGCCTCCCGGAAGGCAGGGATGCAGCATTCCTTTCAGTCGCAGAGCTACACCCCTTCAGCTTCCATGGCTCTGAGCGAGGAGGGTTCCAGCACAGCCCTGGGATGCCCGGCCCTGGCCCCCTTCCTCCCTCTTGTCTAACCAGAGAATAAATGGGGAGCCTGGGACGACAGAGGCACAGCCGGACCCGGGGAGCCCCTCCGAGGCTAGGGGGCCGAAGCCCTCCGAGACGTGGCTGGCTTGGGACTTCCCGGGGGGTGGGAGGCTGAGCTCCCGCGTGGGCCCAGCCTGGCTGGGACAGGCCCTGCAACCCTGCTCTCCACACCGGCCTTCCGCAGCCCCAGCCAGCCACCAACTCAGGCCTGGAGGGGAGGGGTGTGTGTGTGTGTGCGCGCGTGCGTGTGCAAGCCTGTGAGTGTGAGAGAGAACACTCAGAGGTTGTGCCGAGGGTAAGGAGAGGCTCCTGCTTTGTCCCTCCATCTGGCGGGCACAAGCCCAAGAGCACTCTGGACTCTTGTCTCCAGAAGTCGAACTAGCGAAAGGCTGGCAGAGCCTTTCTGGCAATCCTCGGCGCTGCCCGGCTGGTCTGCAGCCGCAGCGCTTGGAGGGGGCAGGTGTCCGGTGCCCACTGCTGCTCCCGGGGCACCTGTCTCCTTCCGCCCGGGCCCCTGTCCTGTGGGAACCTAGTGCATCCGTGTGTCTGTGTCAGTGTGTCTGTCGCCGTACTCGTGGTGTCTGCACGGTACCGGGGCCCGTTCCGCAGCGCTTCCCTCGCGCGGGTGTGCGGAGCGCCTGCCGCAGCCTCGGTGTTTCTCAGTGGCTTTTCTTAGATATTCGTGCTTCCTCCGTGCCCATCGGGTTGTGGCATCCTTGGGCCTGCGGGATCTTCTCTGTGTGTTTGCATGTTCCTCGGGGTGGCGTGTTCCTCGCTCCCTGGTCCGGTGTGTGTTCCCCTGCCTGCATGGACTTCTCCGGTTCTGTGTTGTGTGCTGAGTGCCACCAGTGTTCCGTGACCACCCATGTAGCTGCCACAAAATGGCTGGGTAAGCAAGCCAGGGGTGTCGAAGGAGGCGTAGAGCCACGTTCCTCTCCTCCTCCTCCTCCCCACTACACCCCAAACACAACAAGAAGCATTTCTATCAGGTGGGTTGAGAACAAGCAGAACGATACTCTTGGTTGGGAGAGAGGGAGAAAGAGAGAGAGCAAGCTTGGAATCACCTTTCCAGACCAGATTGATTCCCCCCCCCCCTCACTCCAGCTGTCTGGAGGCTGCTGCCAGGCAAGGCCCAGAGCCGCCGTGCCCAGGGCCGGCCCCTGCTACCAGCCCCGGCCCCTGCCAATACGACCGCAGTCCACCTCGGTTCAGATGGGCCAGGTGGGGGCTGTCGGTTCAGGACCACAAGCCATCCTCTGCCCTAGCTAGAGGGCAGAGCACACCCCAATGCTTATGCCTACGTCCCCTCCCTCCCCATCCCCTCTCCCGAGGAGCCCACGGTGCCAGGGACCGAAGCTGAGATTTAGCTCCCGCCCCGCCCCCCACTGGAGTCTGTGCCGAGCCCCCCTCCATCACTGTGCTCACTTGGCACTTGGCTGGTCCCGAGAAAGGTAGATGACACGGCTGAAAACCCCATCCACACAGTTCCCAGCGACTCCGTAATCTGATTGACGCTCCCTCTTGCACTGAATAATACATGCCTCTCTCAGGTAAGCCATTTTATAAAATAAGAAGATAAAAAGCACTGTCGAGACAGTGTTTGCTTTTGCCAAGCTGGCGTCCGACCGCTCCCGGGGCATCTGGGGTGGGGGAGCTGCCACCGAGGACCCTGGGGGCATCCGGGGTGGGGGAGCTGCCACCGAGGACCCCGGGGGGCTCTAGATCCCACTGGAATCGTAAGCCTTCTTGCTTTTGATAATAACACAGTATTATTTCTCTTACTGTAGAAGAAAAAAGTTTATTACCAAACAAGAGTATTTTTATGCGAGAATAGGACAAACCTATAAATGAATTATCTCAACCTATATCCCCCTTGGGAAAAAAAACAAAACTTTCAGACTCCACCAAAATGTAGGACTGAAAGATGTATTTTGGAAGAAAGAGATACATTTTGTATGCTTTCTTTTCCTTTTGTAGACTCCCAGTTTATTTTCTAAGACTGCAAAGATCACTTCGTCACCAGCCCTGGGACCTGAGACCCTGGGGGTGTCGTGGGGGAGGGGAGGGAGGCAGGTGTGGGGTTCACAGCCATTCCAGCGAGGGGCCCCCTGTTTCTGAGGGTGTGCTGGGGACCAGGAGAGCCCCGAGGCGGAGCACGGCGGGCTCTCTGTCTTGGAGCTGGTCGTCAGCTCCAACCTTGATAGAAGCAGGGCTGCGCAGTGTAACGTGAAGAGGCCAGACTCCGCGGTCCCACAGCGGTCCGGATTTCATCTCAAACACAGTGTGTACATTTATCCAGCTAAGGACGGGAAATGTGTCGCTTCTGTGCAATTTGTTAAAAGGGAACGAGTCATTGAGGAGAAACAAAAGCCCAATACTTAGAGTCCCAATTCTGTCTTCTTTGCCAAAAAATAAAAATTGAAAACAAAAGCAACCCCCTAGAGTTGATATTGTTACCATGTACATACTGTAAAATAGGAAAGAGAATTGATGTATCTTACTTTTTCATTATTTGCTAACCAAAGTTGTACATTTTTCATACTATCGGCAGCCTTTTGGGTGTCAGGGGTCAAAACCACGGGGCCCGCCCCACCCCACCGGCAGTTCTGGAAATGCACTATTTCTACTGGTATTCTTGCTTTTTTTCTTTTTTTTTTCTTTTTTCATTTTCTTGCTGAAATGACATGAATTGTTAAGTTTATTTTTACACAGTAAAGAGTGAAGAAAGACTGGTTTCCTTGGGCTGTTTTTCTTTCCCGAAGCTTGCTGGTGGCCTTCCGCCCGGCTGGCTGTACTGTGGTTTTCTGTCCCCACCTGCAAGGCACCGTGGCTGCACCTCTGGGGGCCGTGAGCCTCCATCAGACTGTACCGTGTTTGCGCCTCCGTCAGACTATACTGTGTTTGCACGCGAGCCTCTGGGACGTGGGAGCTGGGGGGGGTCCTCACCCCCCAGGAGCAGCTGCTACAGGTGATTTCCCAGCTTCGCGAGGCCGCACAGCCTGGGGTACAGGGCAGCTGGGCTTGTACTCCATGAGTGGTTGTGCGTGACGCCCCTCCCAGCGTGCCCAGACCCCTTCCCTAAGCGCGAGTTGAAGGTCAAGCCTGGTCCCCAAAGACGGGATGGAGTGCTCGCCTTAAGCCGGTGTCTGGGGAAGCTGCTTCCTGGCCAGGCTTGACTTCCCGAGGGGCAGGAGGATGGGCATCCCGGGGTTCTGGTGCTGATGCAGAGCCCCCTGAGGTCCTGGTTGCTTGGTTCCTCCCATGCCCTGGCTCAGCAGGGAAACAGCCATTCTACACAATGCTACAGGGTGCTGGGCTTTGTGGGGTGAATGAGCTGCTGAGGGCAGGGGGTATAGAGAGATGGTCTGGTCTCATGGCAAGGCAGGCAGGCCTGAGACCCTTGGGTTCCATCTTGGCACAGGGCCAGTGGCTGGACACCCTCAGCCGGGTCCTGTGGGGGACTTGGGCACTTGCAGGGAGCCTAGGGTGGTACCTGCTCCCAGGCCACACGCCATCGGGAGCTCCAGCCCAGGGAAGAGCACAGATCTATGTGTGGAAGATTCTTGCTTCTAAGTTCTAAGAGCTCATTCAAAGCCCGAGTGCTGCCAGGCTCCAGTGGCTCACGCCTGTCATCCTAGCTTCTCAGGAGGCTGAGATCTGAGGATTGCGGTTCAAAGCCAGCCTGGGCAGGAAAGTCCTGGAGACTCTTATCTCCAATGAACCACCAGAAAACCTGAAGTGGTGCTATGGCTCAAGCAATAGAGCACTCACCTTGAGCTGAAGAGCTGAGGGACAGTGCCCAGGCCCAGAGTTCAAGCCCCATGACTCACAAAAAAAAAAAAAAGATACTGCACAGAGGGGTTACAGTTACATGAGTAAGCTAATGAGCACATTTCCTATCACACCCCCTCCTTTGTTTTTCCCCTACTATCCCTTTCCTCCCCAGCTCTTCCAATCCTCCCTCCCCTCCCAAGTTGTAAAGTTTGTTTTCAACATAGTGTCTTGTGCATCTCTTTGTTACAATGGATCAACCTGTATCTGTTTCAGCATTTTGTTATTTCCCTTCCCCAAATTTGGAAAACGTACATACAAGATGCAGGGCATCGGAATCAAACACAGTGACAACAGGGCTTATACCATGGAGGAAGAACATGCAAAAGAAACAACAACAAAAAAAAATCACATAGTACGCTGGGCGCCAGTGGCTCATGCCTGTCATCCTAGCTACTCAGGAGGCTGAGAGCTGAGGATCGAGGTTCAAAGCCAGCCTGGGCAGGAAAGTCCGTGAGACTCTTATCTCCAATAAACCACTAGAAAACCGGAAGTGGTGCTGTGGCTCAAGCGGTAGAGCGCTCGCCTTGAGCTGAAGAGCGCAGGAACAGCACCTAGGCCCAGAGTTCAAGCCCCATACTGACCAAAAAAAAAAAAAAATCACATAGTACATTGAAAACAACAGCAACAAAGAAAAACCCTCTTGTGGGGGCTGGGAAGGTGGCTCAGTGGTAGAGCACTTACCTTGCATGTGAGGCCCTGGCTTCGATTCCTCAGCACCACATAAGCAAAAAGAAAAAAGCCGGAAGTGGTGCTGTGGCTCAAGTGGTAGAGCGCTAGCCTTGAGCTGAAGAGCTGAGGGACAGTGCCCAGACCCAGAGTTCAGGCCCACAAGTGGACCCCCCCACCCAAAGAAAGAAAAACCCTCTTGTGTCCCTATCTTGGGGTTCATTTTGCTTAGCATCATCTTATAGGGTCATGTATACATAGCTTTTGACCTTTTCTGCTTTTCTGGTGAGCATACCCTAGATGTATACTGGTTATTGCAAATAAGGACCTCTGTTTCTTTGGGTCTGGCTTACTTCATATAATTTTTCCCAAGCCAGCCTCCCGGAGCAGCTCTGTGCGGGGTGAACTGTCTGATTTGGGGGAATCCTCTAGCTGCTCACTTACAGAGGGCTGGGCTGGGAGAGCTTGGAGGGTCATTTAGTCTCATTAAGATGATTGAAGCTCAGAGAGTACTGTGGCATGTTCAAGGTTCAACAGCCTGGGCTGGGAAGGTGGCTCAGTGGTAGAGTGCTTGCCTAGCATGCATGAAGCCCTGGGCTCGATTCCTCAGTACCACATACACAGAAAAAGCTGGAAATGGCGCTGTGGCTCAAGTGGTAGGGCATTAGCCTTGAGGAAAAGAAGCTCAGGGACAGCGCCCAGGCCCTGAGTTCAGGCCCCAGGACTGGGAAATAAAATAAAGAATCAAGGTTCAACAGCTTGACTGGAAGGTTGAGGACTCAGGATTCCTGACTCCAGGCTCAGTGCTCTCACTTGGCTCAGCTGAATACTGGGGTGCTCGCCCGCAGCATGGGCTGCAGTGCTGGCCTCTCAGGGCTGTGGAGGTGGGTGAGGAGGTGTGTGCCAGGGCTTGGCACCAGCAGGTCATGTAAGATGGGTCCCTATCCCCTCCTCCCCTCTCCTCCTTCCCCTCTTTTCTCCGCCCCCCCTCTCCTTATCACTCCACACCCCTGCTTCAGATTCCTCTCCCTCAGGGGTCAGCACCACTGGGGGGGGGGCACTATGGGATCCTAGGTTCTAGTGTGCCTCAGGAGGAAGCTTGGGTCTCCCAGGGGTGGAGCCGGTAGGAGGGAGGGAGGGAGGGAGGGAGGGTCACTGGGGAAGCTGCCCTGGGAAGCTGCTTCCTGAGCAGCTCCTGTTGGGTAATGAGGTGTTTCCCCCATTTTTTTGTGGGTCATGGGGCCTGAACTCTGGGCCTGGGCGCTGTCCCTCAGCTCTTCAGCTCAAGGCAAGCGCTCTAGCACTTGAGCCACAGCGCCACTTGGAGTCTTCTGAGTGGTTTTTTGAAGATAAGTGTCTCAAGGTATTTTCCTGCTCAGGCTGGCTTTGAACCGCCATCCTCAGATCTCAGCCTCCTGAGCAGCGAGGATGACAGGTGTCCAGATAGGTTTCTCCCTTTTGAAGGAGCCCCTGCTCCCCATTAGGTCCTCACTGTTAGGTTTTTAAAAAGAGATAGCCGAGTAAGAACAGCAGCACGCACGTGGTATTCAGGTAAGGGTTAGGTTTATTCAGTAGGCCTGCTAGGACCAGGCAAGGTTGGCACTCCACGTGGCTGGGAAAGGCCTGGGAAAGAGAGTGAGCTGGGAAAGAGAGAGGAAAGAGAGAAAAGAGCAGAGAGAGCTAGAAAAGAGCTGCGAGAGCGGGCGTCTGGGCCTGGGCGAGGCCTTATCTAGGGTATGGGCGGAGAAAGGTGTGGCCACATCAAATTCAGACGTGACCTCAGCGGATGCAGATGTGACCTCTTCCAGGTGTCCCAGTTGCCTAGGTAACGCAGGTACTGGGCGAGGTCCATTCGCCGTTCAGGAATGGACCTTACACTCACCAAGGGTGGGAGCTTCCAGGCCATTCTTGGACTCTCAAGTCTGCACAGGTCTGCAAGCAACATGGCCGCTGTCGCTATGCAGTTAGCCTTCCTTCCTTTCCCTTTCTTTCCTTTCTTCCTTGGAGATGGTTTTTTTTTCTTTTTTGGGTGGTATTGGGGTTTGAGCTCAGGGCCTTGTATTCTCCACTTTTTTGTTCATAATTGGCACTCTACCACATGTGTCACATTTCAAGCCTGGCTTTTAAACTGG